ATGAAAAAGCGGACACTACGTGACTTTTGTAATGGACACTACTAACTTCTGTAATGAAAAAAGTGGATTGTCAATAACAGTAATCAAGGGTATCAGTAAACTTTGTAGTCTATGTCCGACTTTTTGTAGTCTATTAGTAAACTTTGTAGTCCAAGTCCAACTTCTGTAGTCTTTTGTAGTCTATCAGTAAACTTGTAGTCCATGTAGTCCATAACTGACTTTTGTAGTCTACCTGCAATCTTTTGTAATATGTCAGTGTCAATTACCTGTTAGAGTATGCACCTTCCTTTTTTGGTCATTTTTCCCATGATACAAGAATTGTAGCCCTTTCTCTTAGCTTTCTAAATGTGTTAAAATCATTTTGTTTGGTGTTGTTCTCATGGAGAAAAATGCAAAAAGGTCAAAAAAAGCCGGCGATGAGAAAAAGACTTTATGTTATATCTCCACAATGGGAGCACTTTAGAACATAATTCCAACAGATTCAGGAAGCTACAGTGCAGGGCTACAATTTTCGCTTTTTGACCATTTTTGGAAATAGGTCATGTGACCACCCTCCTGATGACCAAAAATCACAATGATATAGCCCAAGCAGCTAATGAAATTTCCAAAGATATTGCTCAAGTAGCTAATGAAAATCGCAATGATATTGCCCAGGAGGCAAATGAAATTTCCAAAGAAATTGCCCAAGTAGCCAATGAAAATCGCAATAATATTGCCCAACTACGCTAATGAATATCGTAATGATATTGCCCAGGTGCCTAATGAAATTTCCAATGATATTGCCCAAGTAGCTAATGAAAATCACAATGATATTGCCCAGGTGCCTAATGAGATTCCCAATGATATTGCCCATGTGCCTAATGAAATTTCCAATGATATTGCCCAAGAGGCTAATGAAATTTCCAATGATATTGCCCAAGAGGCTAATGAAATTTCCAATGATAATTCCCAAATAGCTAATGAATATCACAATGATATTGCCCAGTTAGGTAATGAAAATCGCAATGATATTGCCCACATGCCTAATGAAATTTCCAATGATAATTCCCAAATAGCTAATGAATATCGCAATGATATTGCCCACATGCCTAATGAAAATTGCAATGATATTGCCCACATGCCTAATGAAATTTCCAATGATAATTCCCAAATAGCTAATGAAAATCGCAATGATATTGCCCAGGTGCCTAATGAAATTCCCAATCATATTGCCCAAGAGGCTAATGAAAATCGCAATCATATTGCCCACATGCCTAATGAAATTTCCAATGATAATTCCCAAATAGCTAATGAATATCGCAATGATATTGCCCACATGCCTAATGAAAATTGCAATGATATTGCCCACATGCCTAATGAAATTTCCAATGATAATTCCCAAATAGCTAATGAAAATCGCAATGATATTGCCCAGGTGCCTAATGAAATTCCCAATCATATTGCCCAAGAGGCTAATGAAAATCGCAATGATATTGCCAAAGTGGCTAATGAAATTTCCAATGATAATTCCCAAATAGTTAATGAAAATCGCAATGATATCAGTCAAGTAGCTAATGAAATTTCCTATGATATTGCCCAACTAAGCCTAATGAAAATGGCAATGACATTGCTCAGGTGCCTAATGAAATTCCCAATGATATTGCCCAAGTGGCTAATGAAATTTCCAAATAGCTAATGAAAATTGCAATGATATCAGTCAAGTAGCTAATGGAATTTCCAATGATATTGCCCAAGTGGCTAATGAAAATCACAATGATATTGACAAGGTACATAATGAGATGGAGGTCTAAGGCCTTGCCTACAATTAATGAAAAAAAGCGCAGGCTTTATGATAATGAAAAGACATGGCAACTGGAATGATTCCCTATCATAAAGACTGTGGACTTATACACAATGACCTCTAGGCAGTTACCTTATTTATATGATAAAAGTGGTAGCCACCAGTCTGGGTTGATTCCATACGCAGCCTCGACCAAAGGCCGTGCAAGGGTCTTGAGCTGGCCACGGACTTGGGATGCACAAGCGGTGATCTGTTGAGTGATTAGATGATGGAAAATGGTTGATGATGAGGCTTACAAGCTTTAGCATGTCCTCATCAAACTCAACGCGAACACCCCATGCATTACAGGATTCCACCCAAGCTCCTGTGGTGGCATCACAATCTTCAAGGCGGTCTGGATAGGGATGGACACCACCAATTTGAGCATGGTAGATAGAGATGGTCTCTTCAAGCAGAGACTTGCTGAGATCATCGAAGTCCGCAACATGGGCTCATCCCCGTGAACCTGATGATTCAGTCTTGGGTCATTTGGTGACGACTGTAGTTGATGGTGCAGGCATGGCAGGACAATCTTTTTGGACTCAAGAGTTCATCACCACCTCCATGAAAAAGAAAGTTAGTAAGCAACTTCGACACAACATGTAAAACTTACAGGTTCCAGCTTCTTTGCTGCATGACTAGATGGTGCTGGGGTGGCTTGATGTTCCTTCCGCATATGGGTATTCACTACTGGGGCTGTAGAAGGCTGCGTCACCTACAAGTTAGTGAGATAGGGGGGCAGGTAGAGAAAGGCGGCTCGCTCCACCTGCGACTGTGAACACAGAAAGATTTCCAAATTGGGGTGTGCATCAGGATATTGATACAATTGTGGTTGAGGGTACGGTACACCATGTATTGCCATTCCGAACTCATCATCACTATCTGAAAAGTCCAAAAGTCATCATGATGACACTTCGAGCGATAGAAAAAAAAAACTTACCCTCAGCTTCCTGGCACCTCCTTTCTTTCGTATAATAAGTGCTGTCACCGCACCCATAAAGCGAGATGCTTTTGGGGCTATACGGACCAGCAGTTGGTTCATCTTGCACCATGGATACTGGTGGTTGAGGGGGCTGTCCACTGACACATCGGACAAGATTCTTCGAGGGCACTGTCGGCTGGTATTCTCATTGAAAGGGACAGATAGAAAATCACAACAGAATACATACTACAGGTGTGGGGGGTGCATTTTCCTTGTTTGCGGTTGCTACTCGATGTGTCAGAGTTCGACCATCACATACGGTCGTCTTGATAACCGGTTGCAGCATGAAAGAAGTAAACTGAAAAAAGGTTAGTCACCCAACACCTGGGAATCGAAAGAATACTGACTCCTTGAGCCGGTGCAAGAGGCTCGTCCTCATCTTCAGACTCAACATCATCTTGATTAGCGCGTGAATTGACAGCTGTACCCGTGATCAGTGCTGAAGCTTCGATTGGAGCCTGGACTGGGATTGACTGGTAGCCCATGATCGCTTCCTGGGCTTGATGGGAGCATTTGCTGCTTGGTAGACAATGTATGTGCGTGTCTGGAAGAAGTCGGCTGCACCTCAATAGGAGGTACAGGTGCCGTTTTGAGAGCTGTGGTGCGAGTGCAAGGGGGCATTTTGAATAGAGTGGTGATTAGACTGTAAAAAAAGGTTATAGTGTTGCAATCTGGGGGGAGGAAGTGATAGCACACAGGATTTTGAGTGAGGTGGTCATTGTGGTTTAATAGGAGAATCGGGTGGCAGTGTTGATTTTCCGAAAAATCAACAAAGACGATGAAGACGAGATTTGAAATGTGCTCGTAACGTGACAATTCAGCCAACCATATAAAAGATCGGAGAGTGGTTCAGCTGACATATAAAATGTGGGAGAATGAACAAGTAAAACATCTGCAATAGATAAGTTGAGAAAATTTTATTCCATCCTTTGACCGACAGACCTGAGACCTCATCAAACATGTCGACCACTCCCTGTATCCGCCAAACACGATTAAGGAGGGCTGTAGCTGAACGCTCTGCCTCACCCAACCAAACTCCCATTTCGGTATCAACCATGTGCAGCTTCTGTGGCAAAGGGCCCTTCCTGAGCATTCTGGGATTGCACAAACATGTCTACAACACACCTGCCTGTAATCAAGCACGTCAAGCTGAGTTTGGATCTTATGTGGCAAATATCTGGAGAGAACTACCTGGTCAGACAGATGAAGAGGCCATTCAAACAACAGAGGACCACCTTACTGATGCCGGCCCTACCTCCCCTCCAAATGAAGAGGTTCAACTCGACCGAGACCTTGACACTGTTGGCGACCTGACACCTAGGGACCAAGAGACTTGGTCAGATGAAGGCCCTCCACCAACAACATCGCGACGCACTACCATTGAGGAGGTTGAAGACGAGGATGCCATCCCTCGCTCAACACGTGAATTCCGCTACATTGAAGTTTATCCAGAGAATGAAAAAGCGGGGGCTACCTGGGGAACAGGAACTCCATTGTTTGAGTCAATATGCCAACAGCAGGAGCAAGATGGTGACTCAATTTGGGGGCCCTTCGCTGATGAAGCAGAATGGGAATTTAGCGCAATGGCTGCTACAAAATGTGGGACAGAAGCAATCAGATGCTTACCTCAAGCTGCCTATTGTACGTTTTCTGTGTGAATGTTTCTGACAGATTCTCATGGTAGAGCGAACATAGACACGAGATCGAACAAGGCCGTCTTACAACAGCAACCACAATTTTCTAAAAAAGATCGATGCCCTACCCACGCACAGGGATCGATGGATATGTGACATTGTTACCGCACCAATAATGATGGGAAGCCCATGCCCACAGAGAAGCTTGAACTTTGGCGATGGAATCCTGTTGAGGTCATAAAAGAATTAATGGGGAATTAGTCTTTCAGAGATGCATTGCAATACGCACCTGAACAAGCGTACACAGATCATGAGGGAAAGAACAGGGTGTATGATGAGATGTGGACGGCCAGCTGGTGGTGGGACACTCAGGTCAGTGTGTTTGAAAGAACGCTCAAACAATATCTCACCAACTGATCAGAAAAAATTACCTATTGGATCAACAATTGCGGCGATCATTCTTTCAACTGACAAAACACACTTGTCCACTTTCCAAGGAGACAAGAAGGTGTGGCCGGTATATTTGACCATCGGCAACATAGAGAAAGACAAGCGCCGTAAGCCCACTGCCCACGCGACTGTCCTCATCGGGAACCTTCCTGTCGCCAAGCTAGACAACTACACCGATGCCTCACACTCAGAGGAGGGTTACTGCCTGTTCCACTACTGCATGACCCAAATCCTAAGCCCAATTGTCGAGGCAGGCAAAGATGGTGTGGACATTGTTTGCGCAGATGGCTTCATTCGTCGAGTCTTCCCTCTCTTGGCTGCATATGTCGCGGACTTTCCAGAGCAGTGCTTGGTGGCATGCTGCAAGGAGAGTTACTGTCCGAAGTGTTTGGTGGCACCTGGAGACAGAGGGTCATTTGTCCAGTCATTGTTACGTGATGAGGAGTGTACCAAAGTCATGCTCAAGCACAAGGCATCTGGGCGACGGGTTCCAGAATTCAATGATGAGGGGATACGTCCAGTTTGGAAGCCGTTCTGGGTGAACCTTCCACATAGCGACATCTTCTTGTGTTTCACGCCCAATCTTCTCCACCAACTTCACAAAGGCGTGTTCCACGATCACTTGGTCAAATGGTGTGTCGAGGTGGTGGGAGAAGCTGAGTTGGATGAAAGATTCCGTAGCATGCCAGGCTATCCTGGTCTTCGGCACTTCAAGAACGGGATCTCAGGTGTGTCGCAGTGGACGGGCACTGCAGGGCAGTTAGTAGGAATCACCCACCAACACTGAGAGGCCCGACAATACAAACAGGCCATAGTTGATGGTGCCTGCTGATGGGCCGATGAGGGCCAATAACCCTGTGTTGATGAATTGGCCGATGTGATCCCACTATCAAGGTAAAGAAGGGTCGGCCAGCTACGTAGATTTAGCATACACCGATCAGTAGGAAGCTGCCCCGGGAAGTCAAGCCCCTGTATTTGTATATCGGCTGATAGCTAAGCTATGCAAGGTCAGCTGACAGTTTTGAACATTGTATTTGTATATCAGATAGTTAAGCTATGCAAGGTCGGCTGACAGTTTTGAACATTGTATTTGTATATCGGCTGATGGAAGATGCAAGGTCGGCTGACAGTTGTGAACGTTGCTGGGCTGGTGATTGGCCGAGGGCCTTCACTTCTGATTAGCAGCTAGGCTATGCAAGGTCGGCAGACATTTTGAATTCGCCTGGGTTGGTGGTCGGCCGAGGGCCCTCAACTCTGGTTACCAGGGTCAGCTGGCGAGACCCACATGGTAGTCATGGTTCATGGATATCACCGAGTCGGCCGGACACGAGAATTTATGAACATCTCATCAGCCGATGCATCACCGAGGCCGGCATTTTCAAGCCGAATCGTTTTCAGCTTGGCCTTTAATTTAGCAGCCAAGCAGAGGCAGACCAGGCAGAACTTGCAGTTCAAATTTTCATGATCCGAGACAACATCGGTCAAACCAGCATTGATTAGTAAATTTTAACAAGAGTTGCGATAGGTGTAACTGACTTGTGGGATTCGAACCCAGGGCATACATACACAACGTACCCTCCCAGCATAACCACGAAGCCAAGCCAACGTTGGAAGACGATCGCGGCCAGTATCTTTTACCTGCCTGCAATTTGAACCCGGGCGTCCAAGCTCGGCACTTTGTAAGTCACCCGTTCTCGGCATAAGACAACTGAGACAACTACCCGTTCTTGGGACTTTGGATGTTACAAGCCTTGGATTAGTAAATTTTAGCCAGTGTTACAAAAAGGCCGTCTTCGCTCTATGTGACTTCTGGGATTTGAACCCAGGGCATACCTCCCAGCTCAACCACTAAGCCAAGTCAGCACTGCAAGAGGAAGTTGGTCAGTATCTTTTAGCTGACGACCATGTCACTCTAATATAGTAGTAAGTAAAAAACTGTTTAGGATGAACAGCATGACTTGTTAGGGATTTGAACCCAGGGCATACATAGATACAATGTGTACACCTCCCACCTTGACCACTGAGCCAAGTCAATGATCCACCTGGCCTGAAAGCTCGGCACTTTGTAACTTACCCAGCGTAAGACAACTAACCTGGGTCTGCAAGCTCGGTAAGAATTGATTAGTAAATTTTAGCCAGAGTTACAAAAACGAAAGAGTTGCGATCGTTGTAAGTGACTTCTGGGATTCAAACCCAGGCATACATACACTCTGTACACCTCCAGCTTAACCACTAAGCCAAGCCAACGGTGGAAGACAATGTTGGTCGGTATCTTTTAAGTAACTGCTGACCATGTCATTCTAATAGCAGCAAGTAAAAAATTTGTTTAGGATTTAAACCGGCATACATAGGTCGGTCAGTATCTTTTACCTGCAGTAAGTAAAAAACTTTTCAAAACGCGAATCTATGACTTGTTCGGTATTTGAACCCAGGGCATACATACATATACTACGTACACCTCCCAGCTTAACTACTAGGCCAAGCCAACATTGAAGACAATGTCGGTCAGTATCTTTTACCTGCCGACCATGTCACTCTAATAGCAGCAGTTAAAAGGACAAATTCTGCGCAGTGACTTGTTCGGGGGGTGAACCCGGTGTATAAGACAACCTGGTGCCTGGCCAAGTCCGGCAAAAAAATGTAACTTAGCTGACGACCATGTCGAATACTTGTTCGGGTGCGATTGAACCCGGTCCTATAAACTCAGCACTGACTTGTTCGGCATTTAAACTACAGTTCAAGCTGGGCCCGGACATGAGACCAATTGGAGTACGAAATCAAGAATTCACCCCTTATCCCAGATTTACCAACAATCTTTGGAAGCCAGCATGGTCTAATGGTAGTTGGCTTCCGGGTTCAATCCCCAGCTTCCGGGTTCAATCCCCGGCCATGCTTATGTTTATGACTCTTTCAACTCTTTTTTGCAATTTGGCCTCGAGGCCTGTGCCGCCATCATTTATGCTTCTGATATAGGGTTGCATCGAGGGTTGTAATTTAACCTGAAAACATCCGTGTTTCCCCCTTTAAAAACCCTCTCGCATTTCAAGGACCCATCTTCACCCCCCTCATCTGCGACATGAATAACTTCACCCCCATGACAATCTGGAGTCTGTTGGGTATCCCTCCACCCAACCCCTACCCCGTAGGTTCTGTACATCTCCATTGGTCGTAACCAGCTGATGATTCGTCAGAAAGGAACCCGAGTCTGGTATAATATGAGTATCGGTGGCCTCATGTTTGCAACCGTAGACTCCACCGGCAGGTTGCCAGACGTGAGCAATCCCCTTTGTACTTCCTTTTTCCCACTAACAT